GCAGGCTACGTTTGATCCAACCATCAGGATCAGTAATACATTTTTTAACAAGATTAAAGCGGCTTCTGGCGATAGAGTAATTAGAGAAGAGACTTCAATTTGCGTTCGCAGCTCAAGAGTTATCCAGAATAATCGCGCGTGGCCTATGACTCAAGCGTTGTCTTTCTGGTCTTTGCCAGTATTAAAATGTAGCGTAGTTCCATATTGTAGTGAATGTATTGAAGGTCGCAGAATTTAAATAGAATCGGACGAATGTTGCTAGATAAAAGCTTTGGTTCAAAATCAGTGTTGATTATGTATAACCCGCAGTCTGTGAACACACAGCATACTACTCATCGTAAAGGAAAGATAGATGTCAAAGCAAATTGCAATCATTGATCTCCGAGGCTTTGTGTGTGCAGATTCAACCAACTTTTTGGCTTGAGCTTGCTACACTGCAGTTTCCGCAGTGAATCGCTTCACGCACGCGCTGGTGCGTTGTACTCGTACTTTTATGGCCTCTCTCTGAGAGAATCTTGTACATTCAACGCCCTATAGTTAAAAATTTAACCAAAACAATGGAAATAATAATTGACTTTTTCTTTATGTGGAAGAAGTGTGACATTATAATTTGAACTCTGATCGAATAAAGCCAGCATTGCATTCTTGAGATGATCGTAAAGGACGGTGTGTGCGTCTGCGTAGGTTTGGGTGACATTAGGAGAAGAAGACGGTCTTCCTATACCTTGAAAATGTTTCTGAGCCTAACGATATTATGATAAACGTGTAAGTGGTAATATTCGTCGGCAGTCTGGTAGGCATTTTGATGTAGAAAACCTTAGATATTCTAATCTGACTGCATTTGTTTGGTGACTATTATACATGATCTGCTGTCAATGATGTAAAGCGTGTGCAAACGGGCTACATAAAAAAATTCCGTTATTTAAAAACGGATTTGCGGAAATACTATTGTTAGCAGTAACTAGGCCTAAATTCCTACAGATGTCATAGTAGAGGCAGAAAACACAAAGACCAAGAGATCAAATGGATTCGGTCGAATAGTGAAATCGTCATCCCGCGAAAACGTGCCCAAGCCCGCCAGAAATTACCAATGAAGGAAAATGAAATCACTTGGGCACAGAAGAAAATTAAGGGTTAATATGTCTGATATGTTTTAGCTCGAGTAAGCGAGTGTTATTGTAATGCCATGGTGTTCTAAACTCTTAAGTGCGATTTTTAAAGCAACAGAAACACTAGGTGGCGCACCCGTGATTCTGTGAGTTAGACACCATGGTATTATGAAATCACTTGCGTACAGAAGAAAATTAATGGTTAATATGTCTGATATGTTTTAGCTCGAGTAAGCGAGTGTTATTGTAATGCCATGGTGATCTAAACTCCCAAGTGCAATTTTTAAAGCAACAGAAACACTAGGTGGCACGCCCGTGATTCTGTGAGTTAGACACCACGGCGTTATGAAATCACTTGCGCACCAAGTGGGAATTTAAAGATTAATATGTCTTAGCTTGAGTAAGCGAGTGTTATTGTAATGCCATGGTGATCTAAACTCCCAAGTGCAATTTTTAAGCAACAGAAACACTAGGTGGCACGCCCGTGATTCTGTGAGTTAGACACCACGGCGTTATGAAATCAGTTGCGCACCAAGTAGGAATTTAAAGATTAATATGTCTTAGCTTGAGTAAGCGAGTGTTATTGTAACGCCATGGTGAAACACTAGGTGGCGCGTCCGTGGTTCTGTGAGTTAGACACCACGGTATTATGAAATCACTTGCGCACAGAAGAAAATTAATGGTTATGTCTGATATGTTTTAGCTCGAGTAAGCGAGTGTTATTGTAATGCCATGGTGATCTAAACTCCTATTAAAGTGCAATTTTTAAAGCAACAGAAACACTAGGTGGCACGCCCGTGATTCTGTGAATCAGACACCACGGCATTATGAAATCACTTGTGCACCAAGTGGAAATTTAAAGGTTAATATGTTTTAGCTTGAGTAAGCGAGTGTTATTGTAATGTTATGGTCAGTATTGTGTTCTAAACTCCTAAGTGCGAGTTTTATTATGCAACAGAAACACCAGGTGGCGCGCCCGTGATGGGTCCGGATAATCTGCGAGTCAGCGAGCCAGCGAGCCATGCGAGGCGTGCGAGCCATGCGAGGCGTGCGAGCCATCGGAAAATATAAATTTTTAATAATATTCTAATCGGAAATAGTTCGTTTTGTAATTGGTTTTGCTGCTGGAAATGTGCTTTCAATCGCGAATATTAAACCGCGATGGCTCAAGCGGTGGCCATGTTATTTTGGACGCGAACAGTCTGGGTCGAGGGAGAGCGACAAATTTTGACTTTCTCTCCCCTCTCTGATAGTCTTTCTCTCCTGTTTCGTTCCTGCGAACCGTTCAGCGTGCTCGTGGCCGGATCTTCAAAAAATCTTCAATCCTTTTGGACAATCCAGTTCAGTCGAATCAATCTAGCAATAAACTGCTTCTAAAAGTGAGTATTTACCTGATTTACCTTTGCTTTAGTCTGTTGTCAGTCTGTTGTCAGCTGTAAGGGTCTCCCCCCTTAAGCAAGTAGAAATATAATATTATGTTCTTGTTGTCATGGTTTCCGTACGAACAGAAATATATTTAATGCTTTAAATTCTGGTGTTAAAACCTTAACTGTCTTTTCTTGAAGTTTTTTGAAAGTGGCATACCACGTAATCAAGAGAAAGGATTTAGAAACGTGTTAGAAACGCTTTGCGCGTTTTGAAAACGATACGGTTTCATCGTTCGTGTAGATAGGTTTTCAGATGGCTCGCATGGCTCGCATGGCTCGCATGGCTCGCTTGTATGACTCGCATGGCTCGAATGGCTCGCTGGCTCGCACTCTATCCAAACTCGCCCGTGATTCTGTGAAAAGGACACCAAGGTGTTATGAAATCACTTGCGCAATAACTAGAAAATTAAGGGTTATAGAAGCTATGAAAGCTATATGTCTGTCTTAGAGTGTTTTGTAATAGGTGATTTTCTTGTAGGAGACCCTCCGCCAGTTATATTTTTCGGCATTTATTAGTAAAAGATTTGTGTTTTCGTTACAAATAAAACACGCGTAGCAAAATTCCCATTTCCGGCACTTTTAGTTCGTCCTGGAAACTGGAAAGCACAGTATACGTAACCGGTTATTCGGAAAAAGGCTTTCCTTTTTCTTTTTGATATTTATTTAGAAAAAAACTGTTGCGATCCGTTCACTGAGAATCTCTGCTAATGCGGTTACATTTCGAAAACAATATTTTTGTGGTATCGCGTTCTCCTCGCGGGCGGCCTTTTGCTTTTAATCACCTGGAGAGACTTTGGTTTAGTTTAGACTACGAGTAGTCCCCCATTTTTTCTCAGGGATAGTAGTCTAGGTTTAGTTTTAGTTCGATTATTTCACGTCGTAGTTACAAAGAAACGTTTCGGCGTGGCCCACCCAATGTAAATAAATTTGAGTAAAGTGGCCTAGTGTTCTGAAGTTGCTCTGGTTGAAAAGACATTTGTAATTTTTACAATAAAAACGATGATGTATTTCCGGAGGTTTCGGTTATCGTTAGAGGAGACAAAAGCTTATTTTGATTGTTTTAAATTCCTCCTGTCGCAATAAAATGTCATATGAGTTAGCGAGATGAACACACGATGACGTGCGAGTAATAAGTTCCAGGGATTTCTTATAGTTCCCGATCTTCGGTCCTGAAATATGTTGTCAACACTTCCTTTGTTTTATATTGCGCAATCGGTCAATTCAGATGACCGTCGTGCACGTTTCCAAGGCTTGCGGGTCATCATGCGAAATGAAATGAAATGTCATCTGGTGTTACGGCCTCGACGGATAACACCCTCCGAGATCTCCATAATTCTTCATATGGTACGAAAGCCGAATTCAATAACTGTTTTATTATTCATTCAAAATAATTCCTACAGTGCCGCGTCGAGCGCTACGCGATTCCCGTAGCGCAGGACGCCATTCTCGTAGGGCGCGATGGCTTAAAAACTGTAAGTACATTTGTATCATGGCCAAAATTCTTGAGCGGTTTCAAGAATCGACGGTAAAGGTTTACCGTGACTAACACGAGAACAATTTTCTCGAAAATGAAAATTCTTTGGAAACTTTGATTGTGATTTTCGAAAATGTTTCATCAAAGGGTTCTTTCTGACTGAAAATGAGGTATTTCGAAATTTCAGTTTTGACGGCGAATTCTCGATATTTACAGACAGCCGCTCATAAATAAGTTTTATTGTTCCGTATGCAAATTCAGTTGAGTCATTAGGATTTAAGGTGCGCCCAATTGGTGTTGAAATTTAATTTTCATTCAATCTTCTTGCGAACATCTTTCTCTTGAGCTCGAGAGCGGTTACAACGGATGACAATGCAAGTCTTTTTTGCGATTGTGTTCTTTGCTTTTATGGCCTCCTCTGGTGAGTTTAGATTACCCATTTGAGTTTTCAAAGTTGTATGATTCTACATCAGTGTACAGTATACTTGGACGAGGGGCTTGATTACTCGAAAAAATTGGTTTCCTTTGTCACGAAAAAACTGAAGCAAAAATTTGGCTCTGACGACTTCGTTAAAAAGATGGGGCAAGTTATTTAAAAGGAGTTTAGCCTGTGTCTAAACCACATGCTAAGCCATTTTCAGTTTTCCGAACACCATTTATTGTGAATGGAAGAGTTTCACGAAAGCACAAGGCGTAAACTGCAAAAGCACTTATTTTCTTGAAATAACCCACTAGGGAAGAGATCTGGAGGTCCAAACATTTGCTAAACCGCGGCCTAAGTTAGATTTTTTCTTCGTTTAAATGACCGACCCATAAAGTTTTCCCCAGTGTTTGTTGAAAAAAGAGAGAGATTAATTTAAGCAGTAACGCCGGGACGGACAGCGAATACGTCAACTATACTAGACAAAGCTTCCTGAAGATGAACTTTTGGTGCCTGCAAAAAAGTCGGAAAGAGATAGGAAAATTGCTTACCGCCATGAAACGTTGAAAATGTGTGAAGGAACGGTAAGAATTATTCTTAAAGGTGCGATACTAGTACAGAGTTGTTGTTCTCATGAGCGTGTGTCCACATACGCACATGCGCCCTTGCGTACACTTACAGCTGAAATATGGAAAAATATATATATATTTTTTATTTTCGGAAAAAGAAATTTTTATCATTAAATCGGGATGACTGATAAATTTTTCGCACTATATTTCCTTCACCCTTTTATTATTCCATAAACCTGGTGGTGTCACTGACCTTTTTTCAGTTTCCCGTAAACACTCTACCTTACCCACAATACTGGAGAGGGGTAAAATAATCAACTATTGCATTTTCCTGCATATTGATTCGTAGAAAACGCTAGAAATGGTATTTTCGAGACCCTAAATTTAAGAATTTTCTGGGGGAGACCCCAAAAAGTTGGGCCTCCACCGGCGCTACAACTACGTCCCCACGTAGGACAAAGAGAAGACGTTAGGGGGGGGGGGCATAGTTTGGAACCTTACGGAAGTACGAAGGTCACCGCTACGGGAGCGCCAAAAGGCAGCAAGTTTAGTAATAAATTAAACAACCACTCTGCACTTGCATAATTCTTTTTGGTAAATGTTTTGCCGTCCCCGCACAATTCAATTGGCTGCGT